TGACTCAGAGTTCCTAGAGTTATGTTCAGTATGACATATCATATCTCATGGTTTCTTTGTTTTCTGTCATCACTTTACGTAGCCTACTTTTGATAGTAAGAAGGGTTTTGGTTTTTGTTTATTCCATTGGTCCAAATAGTAGCCTATGTTTAAATTTAAGTTTTAAAAATCAATGTCACTTGTGGATGAATAACAAAGATATTATGTTGATCGTAGAAATATCAGGAATATATGTGCACTAAATAAAGGGTCAACTTTGTTATGAATACACCAACAACAAACCTAGTTCAGGTAAACAAATTGTTGAAATTAAAATTGAAACCAAAAACACTACTATTTTTAGTCGTAAATGCCATTTAGGCCTATTGCTTCTTTCGATTACAACACCGTATTTGTCTTCCAAGATCATGGTGACACTCTGTGCTTTGTTTTTTTTTTTAATTTAAAAACACAGGCCTAGCTTTGTTTTTAATTTAAATAAATACTGTAATTTTTTTCCCAACAAGTGGAAAAAAAAAATTCTTTCTTACCTTGAAGAAGACCTAGTTTCATCTTACTCTCACAAGTAGCCGACACTTAATAACATAAAACTAACACACACAACACAACAATCAGTTTGAATTGACAATTATACATAGTCAATCAACTACTATCAATCCTTATTTGCCTGTCTTGATTTCAGTGGAGTTGAAGCCAAGCAGCCTAACTCCGCTATCCGTAAGTGTGTGCGAGTGCAGCTCATCAAGAACGGAAAGAAGATTACGGCATTCGTCCCCAGAGACGGTTGCCTGAACTACATCGAGGAAAACGATGAGGTCTTGGTTGCAGGATTCGGTCGTAAGGGTCACGCCGTCGGTGACATTCCCGGTAAGAGACTGTATAAGTCTTGCATCATTTTATTTATAGGCTATCCTACACAATTGTCGCATGTCATATCAACTAAAATCATCATACTATGTGTTAAGCTAATTACAAAATTGCAACTGAAACAATGCTACAAAAATTACATACAGTTTTGCTTAACTCCATCCCACATACATACATCCCACATTATAAACTTGTATTCCTGGTTTTTGAAATCCAAAGCTGATTAATTGCACTACACCCAAATGGCTCTACCAAGGTTGGAGATAACAAAAAAAGTTTGGTCGGAGCAGCAGTTCTCAAACCTTGGGTCACCACCCACTAGCTTCGTTTAAAATAAATAATCTTGCCAAATTATATAAAAATTTATCCATAAACAAGGTAACTACAACAGTTTACTCATAGAATGAAGTGTACAAATTTTAAATAATTTTTTTAATACTTTTTCCAATTTAGTAGGGTATAACAGCTGTTTTATAATTAGGCAATTTTCGTAGTATCCTTTCTCACATGACGTTTACAGTTTAAACTAAAACATTGTACATGTGTATGTTACAGGCGTCCGATTCAAGGTCGTGAAGGTGGCCAACGTATCTCTTCTGGCTCTGTACAAAGAAAAGAAGGAAAGACCAAGATCATAAGTTTTTGTTACTTTTTAAAATATGAACTAATAAAATAAGTAAAATTTTATTTTTGTTCTTATTTAACCCATTGGGGAAGGAATTAATGCGCTACCTCCAGCACCCTCTGGCGGCAATTAATTTTACCAAATTTGTAGACTTTTACTCTAACTGCTATAGAAAGAAAACCTTAGGCCTAGGTAATAAATTAATAATTCTTTCACCATTTTGTTCACAGTAAAATTGTCTACAGAAAAGTGGCAATTGGATAGTCAAAGTTCTAAACTAAAAAAATATATATATAAAGATTATAAAAATAAAAATTTTAAAAACAATATTTTGAAAGTAAACTTGATATACAAATTCCAAGATTAATCCAGATAGGGTACCAAATAACACTACTATTATAAAGTTCAATCGATTCCCTATGTAGAAAAATTAAAAGTTGTATACTTTTATAAGTATACCATGGCTCGGTGTAGTTTATTTCCATTTTAAAAGCAATATAAAGGAAACTCATGATTTAGTTATAACTAATTTTGGCTTTTATTTTTTAAGTTTCAGTGGAATTTCAATTAACTATGATGGGATTTTTAACCTGGCAATTTACAACACATTAATTTTTAGTTTTAGTTTTGGCTTTAAACTTAAAAAAATACTGCGATGACAAAAAAAAAACTAAAGTGGAGTCTGTCTACTCAAAAAATCATCAAAAACCATTAAAAAAACTGTATACCGTACTTGTATATTTTTATGCAATTCTGTGAGGTTAAATTTCTAAGCAATGTGTTCTCAGTTTTGGCATCAAATTACCAATTTGCTGTCAGACAGTCTGCTGCGTGAGGGAAACCAGACATTTTATTTATTTAACACTAGCAGAGTACCCGTCCATCGTACGGGGTTGGCAAATAAGTATAAAATGCTTATTGCGGTTATACTCGATCTTTCCTTTTGCAATGTGAGAAGACACGGTTTAAGAAAATTTGCTGCCTCAAATTTACGGTATGCTATAGTATTATACATCTACCATAGCCATAATGTTCTACCACTTCACCTACACAGTAGAGAAAGATAGATTATTAAAAATTCACAAATTATTCATGAAATTAAAAACATAACCATACTGTAAACAGTCCTACTTTGACAGTTCTCATTGCGTATCACAGTGTTTTGTTGCTGCTTAGTTCAAATTAGCTGATTTCATAAAAAAATGAAAAAAAAATAATAGTGCTGCACCCTGTTGGTGAATCTTATAAATTTTTAATTGCATATCATAAAACCAACTCTTTTAGTTGAAACAGCTGGTTAAATTCTTTAATTCCCTTTAAATATGAATACTCATAAGGTTAACATGGGGAACTGCAGAGCCACTGGGGCGGAGCCGGAAAGGATTTTTGAGATAAGAATATGCCTATATGTTAATCGGGAATGTGAGCTATCATCATGCCAAATTTCAGCCTAATCCGACCAGTATTTTTCACGTTTACTTGTCACAAACATACATACATCCTAACTTTCTCATTTATAATATTAGTAGGATACTAAATAATAACATAGGCCACTAAATTTAGATCAAAACGGAAATTTTTAAGAAAATTGATTATTATTCTGTTATTTTTTTATAAATCATTGAAAATAAAACCAAAATTTAATAAAAAAGTAAAAAAATATCTGTTGATACCACGGATTATTAGTGCCTACATACCAAATTTCATGCAAATCGGATCACTGGTGTGGTGTGGTCTGTAGCTCCTGTAGCCTACACATCCGCACATACAGACAGACATCACTTTTTTGGTCCGTAGGGCCCAAAACGGATATCAACTCAAAACGCAAAAATGTTAACAAAAACAATACTTTTCCCATACTATGGTATTATAGGAGGAGAAAGTAAAAATTAATAATAGTGCTGCACCCTGTTGGTTGAGCTTGTAACTTTTTAATGCTATCATAGAACCGACATGTTGAGCTGAAAAAATCCTTTAATTCCTTTTAAATATGAATTGAATACTCATAAGAATAACACGGAAATGTTGAACCCCTCTGGGGTATAGCCCTATAGGATTTTCACAACTTTGATATGCCTATGTGTTTCTCAAGACTATCCAGTACCTCTGAATAATTTCAGCTCAATTGGCCCAATAGTTTTCACTGATGGAACTTCAGAGTTATACACAAACATCCATACTTTCACTTTTATAGATATAGATTAGGATGCCACATTTTAATTAAACCAATACTATACTAGGGTGGTCTGCCGTTACACTTCAGACGCATAAATGAGCGAAGCATTATTTAAAGATTGTCAATGGCTAAAGCAGCTAACAACCTACAATATGTTCCCATTCAACAGATTCACTGTTTGCCCGATATTATTTAAGTTCTAAAGAATGACAAATTTATCTGATAGTTCATACTGTACCTTTGTAGTGAAACTGGCCATCCTGACTATTTGCTTGTACTTTGTAAATGGGCGTAGCAGGATATACTCGTGCAATCAACATTTGTTCTACAATCGTCAGGTCAGTTAATTCGTTCGGGACACTTGACTCATCCATATTATTTAACGCCGAGAATTTAGTTGCATTTGAACGACAACGCGAACAAATCGGTGATTGGTTTAAAGCTGTTAGTTGTTGGCGATGACAGTTAGTGCAAGTATAAAATTGTAGTGCATCTAATACATGTTGGAATTGATTAGCTAACTGCCTATCAATCTGGTTCTTCTTGTTCACGACGCCACTATCATAAAATATTTGCATTATTGGTGCGACGACCAATATTACGACGTGGTCTTTGAGCCATGCTCAAAACAAATATAGCAAAACTGTTACTTCCATTGATAAACTAACTTTAACCTAGGATGAAAGTAAACATTGAAATGTAAACTAAACAGTTACAAACAATTAACATATGTTTATCTTATTTAAATAAAACAAGATAAACCCATATGTCATAAACCCAATATAATTTTTCTTTCAACTTACATTAAAATAACAAGCGAAATTGCGTGACCTGTAAAATAAAATCCAGAAGGAAATTTGCAAATATTTTTTACCAAAACATTGTGCTCAGTATTCTTTAGCTGTTGGCCAAATTTCATATCAATTGGTCAAGCCATTACATTCTGATGCTCTTACAAAGAAGTTACAAAGTGAGGGAAAGTGAGCTACGCTCAATAAGCTATGCCACATTTTAATTAAATCAATGCTGTATAAGCTATGCCACATTTTAATTAAAAGCAATATAAGCTGTGCCACATTTCTACGATTATAAGTTATGAAAAAAATTCCATTTCCCATTATTAGCTATGCCACATTTTCACGATTAAACAAGTTGAACAAATTCTCAATTATAAGCTATGCCATTATAAGGTATGACACCCAAACGGAGTCAGAGTTCTCCATTCTTGCTTGAAACAATGAAACCCTATAAAGTAAAGTCATAATAAAACATACTCTGTGGTTGGTTGGTCTATGGATTAAGTAAACCAGCATGAACATGAATAATGGAGTGAAGGAGGTAGGGAAGTGAAACATGAATTTGATTCAATGTTGATGCTCAAAAATATTCCCAATACAGGTAGCTAGCAAGTAAAGAGCACCAGAGAGACTTGACCTGATTAATTAGAGGTAAGATAATTGATTATTTTGGAAACAGATCATAAAAGCATCGACTTGTAAGCTATCAGCAGTCAAAGATAAAAGTAACTTAAGTTATGCCAAACTGTACAGGTTTGATGATTGTGCAACATAGACTGTTGTGAACCATAATTCTGACCTTAAAGCTATTGGTTGTAATATTAATAAAATATACACTTTTTAAAGCATAGTATGAGTGCATGATACACATATACACTCAACTCTGGTTTTATATTAGGTATTTTAATGAGTGAGTAGTATCAGATAAAATTACATGCCAGTGCTTGCAAATGGGTTTGTGTTTGTAAGTTAAAGATTTGCCAAGGCATTCCTAAAGTCATCTGGAGGTAAGTTGGAAAGTGTTTTTCACCACACTATGATGTTTTTAGCTGTTTTACATACTTTAATTGGTGGCTGAAAGTTACGATTTGCTGGCCATTCCAGCTGTCATCATCTTTTACATCCCTAGGGCCACAAAATCAGCTGCTCGCTTACTTTCTTAAAATAAAACATGAATGCATATTAAATACACAATCAGTATACATAGCATTGCAACAGAATTGTGTTATTGTCGCCGCTGTCTAACAACTATTTATTATTATTTTTGCTGATTCCTCAAGTTATTTCTTCACACAACCTTAAAGTTGTATAGTTGTGTTGACTATCTTTGTACATCATTATTGTGCTGAATAGTGGTAATAGGGTATAGTGTGGTGAAAAATTGCATTTGTACCACGGACCGAAATGTTTTTGCAGCTCTCGGTCGTTTTAAGTTCTCGGAACTTAAAAAACTATCTCGAGCCGGCAAAACCTCATTTTCGGCCCTAGGTACGAAATATACTACTAGGACAGGCATTATATTGTGCATTTTTTTGTCACCCCTCATATCACTCTCCCTATGTTGCTCTGATTTGTATTTCTAGATTGTAAATCCTGCAATAATTGCCAAAGTAGTTTGTTTATATAATGTACCTGCTTGCTACTTAACTGTTATCTTGTCAATTGTAAAATACCTGAACTGATTTAAGTCTATATTGTAAACTGGTTTATGCCGTTAATAAACTAATTGAATTGAATCAGCAATTATAACGAGTGCTAGTCAGCTTTAATGCACCTTGCATGTAGTAATTTAAAGAAGACTCGAAGACTCACAGGCTAGAGCCATACTAACCACAAGTAGACTTCTCATCCCATTTTAATATTTGATGCTCGTTTTACGTGTCCGGTGGCACTGGGTGTTAGTGTCGACAAAATTTTTTTATATTATTTTAGGGTTAATATCATGATTTGTGCTTTACTGTTTGGTTATATAATTAGGGTACGAGCTATTGTTTATGATTAGATCATTTTATTTGGTTAAACAAGGTTTTTAATGACTGAAATAACTGGAAACAAATTGTAAACAAAAAATGACCTCTATTGTGCACTGGACGTAACCATAGACTAACCAACACAAGTAGACTTCTCATCCCATTGTAAATTTTGAAGCACGTTTTTCGTGTCTAGTTCATGTATGTGACACAAAGGCGCTAGTGTCGATGAAACTTTGTTTCCATTATTTTAGGGTTAATTTCTTGATTTGTTCTTTACTGTTTGGTTATATAACTAGGGGACAAGTTATTGTTTATGATTAGATCGTATTATTTGGTTAAACGAGGTTTTAATTGGCTGTAATAACGGGAAACAAATTGTAAACAAAACACGACCTCTACATAAACCGTACATGAACTAACAATAAAATTGTCTTCAGCTGTTCCATAAGGATGAGAAATCTACTAAGGGAGTATGTTTTATCTATGACGTAACTAACAATAAAATTGGCTTCAGCTGTTCCATAAAGATGAGAAATTTACTAAGGGAGTATGTTTTTTTTTCTAGCGAGAAATTGCAGTCCTGCTAGTTGAATTATGAGTTTTATCGACAAAATATAATTTTATTGCAATGGAAACTTTACAAAAAAGAGTATAGTAACAATCAGAATTCAACAATTAATTTCAAACTAAAAAACATTTGGAATACCAGCTCTATCTTCAAATTCCCTCGCTGATGACCGCTATTTCTTTCTCGTTAATCTCAGAAACATACTTTTTGCCCTTAAAACTGCACGAATTGTTCTTGATCTTATCTAAATTACCAAACTGTATGGTTTTTTTCAATTTTTCTAATAATTTTTCAGCCATAACCCTTTAAAAATATTTTGGAATTTCATTCCCGAAATTCCATCAACACTTGGGACAAGAGTCGTTGAACATGCATGTCGTTCTCAAGCTTGTGTATACTTTCTTTTTTCATCTAACTTGTTGATGAGGGATAGAGACAAGATGGAGCATCAGTGTCAACGAACCGAACTTGAGTTTTATAGCCTATGATGCATGAGTTTACAAGTCATATATTTTTTGAAAGTGAGTTTGTGATTGACATAGTTATTTTTTGTTTCTTATTAGATGGAGTATATTTATTGTGATTTAGCCATTGAAGTGGCAAAATACCTCACACCAAAGGATATATCTACATGCTGTAGAGTTTCACTCCACTGGCGAGAAGTTTTTGGCAGTAATGAGGTAACTGTGTACCCTAACTTTGTGTTGTAATTTCTTTAAAATTTGTGTTTTGCTTGAAGCACAAAACACCCCCGCTGCAGCAAACCTGCAGAATAAGTGAATTACCTGGCTGGATTTGAACTAAAATATCCCCTTTTAAAATTGTCACGTTTATTCGGAAAAATATAAAATATCTAAATTTGAAGTATATGGACTACTCATTGGATCAAGAGGAACAATTCCTCAACAAGTTGAGAAATTTTGGAAGAAATTCAATTTGGAAAATCAAAGTGTTTATATTTAATATCTTTAACAGCCATAAAATTTTCTATTAATATTATAAGAAACCACCTATATAACAATTATCATAACTAGGTTTAAATAAACTTGCAAAATTTAATGTCATATTATTCTTTGTTCTACAGCAGACTACAATGTGTAGTAAGATTTCAATTTTTTAAATAAATTTGAATTTATATATTTAAATAGGTAACATTAATTGTATTGAATACTACTTACATAGACGTAACTAGGAAGGGGTTACACTAAGGGGCCAGGAATACTCCCCAGGTAACGGGGGGAATTGAGGGGCCCTCCCCTGGGAAAAGTGTTTAAAATTATACCTGCTAACTCATGTTTTAGGCTATTTATAATCATATTAAACATATTTTTATTATAGAAATAAAATTATTGTTGTAAAAAAAATCATTTTTAAAGGATAGATGGGAGTTTAAAACACATAACCCCCCCCCCCCCTCCCGGATACGCCACTGAATAATTGGGTTTGTTTAGTGCTACAGGGAAGGTTTTTTAAATTTACGGAAAGTAAATAAAAGAAACGTCTTATAACACTTAAAACGGTATATTTACGCTTATACTGTTACTCACAAGACGGTAAATATACAAAAAAGATGGTAAGTGGTGATCGATTTCGATTGGACACTCCAATCATCATCAGACCCAATAGGCGAATGACAAGAATCTTTTAAAATTAAATGTCGATAGCTTCCTTAGCATGAAAATGAATGAACAAGTTTGCCAAATGCAATCATGATATCCACAAATGAGCAAAATACAACAGTTTATTTTGTTAAATATATTCCCTAACTGACTGTAAATAGTTATAACACAGATGATACATTGTTATGTTATGTTATTATGTGGAAATATAATACTTTACCTACAACCGTTTTTTAAAGTAGCCGTTTCAGTTAAATTCTCAGAATTGAAAAGTTTCACATAACAGCATTGTTTACTTTCATAACAGCATAGTTTTACTCATAACAACACGGATAACAGACCAATGAGGTTCAAGGATTGTGAGTTAAGTAAAATTGTAATGATTCTAACTTCAACTAATCAGCTGTTCAGGCCAATTTAATTGTTGAGTGGTGCTTGCATCACTGTCAGTAGCAATAAGAGATACAAACGAAAACATAACCTTTATTAGAAGTTATGAGTAGTGATATTTAGTAATTAAAATACTGACGTAGGTAAAGTAGTGTACGCAACTGGCGTAAATAGTGTTAACAACACTTTTAGAAGTTTTTAAGGCACTCGCCAAGGCTCGTGCCTTAAATTTTCTCTTGTTGTTAACACTATCTTTACGCAGTCGTTGCGTAAACTACTATTTAGTGGTTGAGAATAAACAATGGTATGGTCAATTGAATATACTTTGCTAAAAAAAGGTAAGTTCACCTCAAATTGAAAATATTAATAAGCAAATTTTTAATTTAGACTTTTTTTTAGCTTTACAAAACAGTTTGGATACTACTATACTATTATATATATACTATACTACTTACTTACCCTACTAGGGCCATCTATAGAAGATTCATAATTTTTTTCAGATGTTGAATGTTTTTTTCAAACTGCCTTCTTGAACATGGGGTTAGATTTAAGATCCTGCAACAATATGAAACCTAGTCAATCAGGAGGCAATCATAAAGCAATGTCTTGGTTTAATTAGCTACAATGTACAAAGGTGTTTTCTTGTGAGGTAAATAGAAATCAATTACTTGTTTTCGACAGGTTTGGCAGCGTCTGTGCGACTCTGAGATAGAGGAGTACCTGAGGACAACTCCGTGTGTAGTGGAGCCAATATTTCAACTCCCTCAACATAATGGCACTTCACTACCTCCTCTGAGTCAATGGAAAGCCGCCTTTCTACGAGAACAACACTTGTGGACAAACTGGCAAAACCGGAACTTCAAAACTGTGGAATATGATTTGGGAAATGAGAAGAATTCTACAGAGAAATTTGTAACAAATGATTTGATAATGAGGTTTCTTCCCAATTCAGTGGAACTGTGGGACGTAAGAGCGGATCGTCCAGTTCTAAAGGACACAATATCATTCGGAAAAACAAGATGGTACACTCCTACGGTTTTAGAGAACGGGTTTGTTACCCTCAAGGGCTATTACAATGATAATGGTAATGATCACTATTTTACAGAAATTTTCAAGGTTAATCAAAATGAACGCTCTGTAACCCTAAAATGGTATATTGAACGAAATGGCAAAGAATTGTCTCTCAGACCGGGGTGCAGCGAGGAATCAGTTAAGAACAGATTTTGTTCCGTAAAAGAATTGAATATAGTTATTACTCCAGGGGGGAAGTGCATCGGATACCTCAGCTACCCCTCCTCCAATCCCTCGTACCCTGGTGGTATCATGCACTCATTTTGTGTGTGGGATTTAGAAAATGGAGTAGAACTCAGAAAAGAATCCCTATTCCTACCAGATTGTTATTTGATAATTGAAGGATGTAAATCTAGTTCAAATCAATGTGAAGATGTGGTAGTCATTTTACCTTACCCATTTAGCACCCCTGATAGATCAGGGCTTGCTTTTGGTACTTTAGAATTTCAAGTTTATAATGTAAATAATCTTAAATTCTTTCCGTTTAAGAAAAGGTGTACTTATATTGATCAGGTTTCAGAATCAGAATATGAATCAGATTATGAATCAGAATATGAATCAGAATATGAACCAGATTCAGAAAAAAAATGTAGGGAAGATCGAACTTTTTGGGTTATAACTGATGGGTTTTTGGCCCTTTCGGACTGTGGCCGTGAAGGCCGTGAAGCCAAAGAGTTCATAAGAATTTTCAACTACCAAACTGGTCACGAGCTGTACAAGTTGGAAACAAATGATTATAACACAGCAATTGAGGTGATTGGGGATACATTCCTATTCACGAAAAATATATCTTTACCATCAAGCTACACTCCGGGAACAATATGCGACGATTTATTTTTTGCAGGAGATGAAAAAGATAAGTTGCTCTTGTGCTCGGTTTCGCCTTCTGGAAGAGTTTGTGAAGATGTATTGGGTAGTAGATATATAGAAGAATTCTATGTCGTTGGAAGGACAGGGTTTATACAGGTTTTATATATCAGTGGTGTTACTAAAGTTTGGAGAGTTGATAGATTTTTCAATTTTCAATTTTCCTTTCCTGATGAAGGAGTTAATGGAGCTTGCACTAAAGTAATTACAACAACAGGTCCTCCAAACACATTGGGGATCTCATACTATTGGTAGTACATCAGGGTTGACAAGTGTTAGTAGATGTTGCAGAACTGACTTCTATTGAGAGTCTAATAAACAGCATGGATAGTGAATAATGCTACTGTTTACTTAACATAGTCAACAAAGACAGAGATTACACGAGAGTCAGATCCCTCAAGTTTGAATTCATGTGAAAAAAGTTATAGAAATTACGCATTAATTCTACTGTCATGGGTACCACAATTATTGTTATCTCTGTAACTTTGTTCTTCGTCTAGTCTTTCCTAAGATTCTTTGTTCTGATTATTTCTTATCCATATCATCCATATCAAATCATTCAACTACCTATTGAAATAATAATCAACACTATAATAATGAGGTATAACCTATAGTCAATACAGTGTTCTAAATGCTTAATAAATCAATGCTGTGCCAGGCAAAAAGGTTTGCATTCTGCAGTATTCATACACCAAATCATACTATATAATTTTATAAATGCATGTGAAAGTTTGTGTGTTTGTTTATTTGTTTGTTTGAAGTTCAATCACGCATTAACGACTGGTCGGATTGGGTTGAAATCTGGTATGATGATAGTTCACATTCTTGATCTCAAAAATCCTTTCGGTCTCTGTCCCAGTTAGAGTTCCCCATGTTAACCCTGAATATTCATATTTAAAGAATTTTGTCAGCTGTTTCAACTACACAAGTTGGTTCTATGATACTTTTTGGTTGGTTCTATGAAATTCTTTAGCATTAAAAAGTTACAAGGCTTACCAACAGGGTGCAGCACTATATTATTTTTTTGCATTTATGAACCAAAAGCTGTGATACCCAATGAGAACTTTACTTTTTTCTATTGTTTAGGTGCAGCGGAAGAACATTATGGCTATTTTAGATGTGCTATACTACAGTATAGGGTAAATTAAAAGAACAACATTTTTATAAACCGTGTCCTCTCCCATTTGCAAACGTAAAGCACGAGTATAACTGCAATAAGCATTTTATACTTATACGCCAACCCCGTACAAAGGACGGGTACTCTGCTAGCAAAATATTCTTTTTTTAAACTATTCTTACAACCTCATTTTGTATTTATAATAACATTGTACATTTAAATTTACAATTACATTTATAATTACTATTTATTAAATCCTAATAAACCCTGTCATAAATATCAACCACCCGCAAATACAATTTTATTCACCTTCAACCTATAAAGGTAACAATATAAATACAATAATCTTTTTTGAACAATATGGATTCATCCGATAACAGTGGTTTTATATGGTACTAGCTGTCCCGACAGACGTCGTCCCGTCCTATAATGTGGTTTTATGTCAAATGTTAGTTCATTTTCAGAGCTCGTTCACATCGCTTAATCACGTCCTGGTTGAAGTTCGTTTGCTACGCTTACTCACCTTTAGGTTGGAGCTCGTTCGCTGCGCTCACTTGCCTTCAGGTTTAGGTTTTGCTACTCTAACTCGCCTCTAGTTGAAGTTCGTTCGCTACTCTCACTCACCTTGGTTGCAAATTAGCTGATGTCATAAATAAATAAAAAATAATAGTGCTGCACCCTGTTGGTAAACCTATTAACTTTTTAATGCTATTGAACATCACAGAATCAAATTGTTTAGTTGAGCCATAGACAAAAATAATTAAATATAGACTGTCAGCCGTGCTATGGTTACCATAGGTTCTGGCGCACACCGCTTGGGGCGCCGTGTAGTTTCGTAGCTAACTACACGCTACACGGCGCTCCAAGTGGTGTGCGCCAGAACCAACGGTAACCACATCACAGCTGACGGGCTATATTTAATTCTTTTTGTCTGTGGTTGAACCAGCTGTTAAGATTCTTTAATTCCATTTAAATATTTTTTTTTTTTTTTTTTTTTTTTACTTTATTTAATTTACAATCTGTTCAAGTTGAACAATAAGCAAATGATATAAATAGTAATACAAAAATAACTTGAAGAACATGAGCTAGTGATTGACCACCGTCAACACTATAGCAAACAAAGAGAATTTTGATAACACTTAGCCGAATCTGATTGGTAGGTCCAATATCGTATGTCGCTTCAGTCTGTAGATGGTGTTTTGATTGTCCAATAAATTAAGTGCAAGATGATTTGAATGTCCAATTTTATAATGTATTTTTCACTATATTTTGTAATTTCTTCTTTTACTCATAAGATTAACATGGGAAACTCCAGAGCCACTGGGGCAGAGCCCTTTTGATAGATCTGCACCAAACTTCACCCAAACCTTCCCGGGGGTGTATGTAATAACTTCCCATTAATTTTCATCATGATCGGATGGCCGGTTTGGTAACGCATAAAGGACAAACAAACAGACAAGCATACATTGGATTTTATATATAAAGATAGCACAACTAGCTGTAACCCGCGGGCTTTGCCCCGTTTAACTTCTTAATTTTCAAGATTATCTCGTTCGCATGGCTCAATCAGGTCCTGGTTGAAGTTTGTTCGCTACGCTCACTCACCTGTAGGTTGGAGCTCGTTCGCTACGCTCACTCACCGTTAGGTTGGAGCTCGTTCGCTGCGCTCACTTGCCTTCAGGTTAGCTCGTTCGCTACGCTAACTCACCTCCAGGTTGAAGTTCGTTCGCTACGCTCACTCACCTTTTGGTTGCAAATTAGCTGTTGTCATAAATGTAAAAGAAATAATAGTGCTGCACCCTGTTGGTAATCCTTGTAACTTTAATGCTATTGAACATCATAGAACAGAACCAACTTGTTTAATTGAAACAGCTGTTAAGATACAATAATTCCATTTCTCATAAGGTTAACTTGGGAAACTCCAGAGCCACTGGGGCGGAGCCCGAAAGGATTTTTTAAATAAGAATATGCCTATATGTTAATCGGGAATGTGAGCTATCATCATGCCAAATTTCAGCCCAATCCGACCAGTATTTTTCGCGTTCACTTGTCACAAACATACATCCATACATCCATACATCCATACATCCAAACTTTCTCATTTATAATATTAGTAGGATAAATCAATAATGAAATTTGTCATTTATTAAATAAATTGATCCTTCTGTATCATATGTTTTAAACACAGTTTATAAAGTTCAAAATAATTGTAAGCCAGAATTTGTTTGAAATGTATTCAAGAATGTGTGCTACCCATATGAAAGAAATTAGATTTGGTAATGAGATAATTTAATCTTCTGTGCATAGAACGATGATATATAAAAAATCTTTCCATGTTATTATCAATTAGACTTATCAATAATTTAGTTAGTGAGGTAAAAAATCTTAATAACCCTAAAATTTTTCTAAAGCATTAAAAAAGCTGTTATTACAAATTATACTTCATCTTTGTAAATTATAAAGATGAAGTATAAACTTATTACATAAGGATAGATTTAGTTTTTTCCATATAGCGAAGTAGCCTCTGACACAACATGTTAATTTTAGAGGCCGTTTTTCAACAGATGTTCTTGAAATTTTGTATCAATGTAGTTGAATAGTTATATTAAAGCTCGTATACCTTCAAAGTTAGAAAATGAAAAAAATAATTAGTTTTATTAGTGTTTAAAAGTGACTCAATATACGTTACTTTAAGATTTTTTTTGTACTTATACTATTATTGATTTTCTTGGATATATCATGTATGAGGGCCCTAGAACCAACAATAATCTGTAAGGAAAAAAGTTTTAACATTATATCTTCACACATTCCATCCGGAGCGAGGGACGTCCAAGGCATGTTTTTATTGTTTTCGCAGGGGTGAAGAAGACTCTTAACAATTCCATAATAGTTTTAGGTGATAAAATCTTTGGTTTTCAATGTATTATGTTTTGATTTGTAAGTTTTAATTTTTTTTTTGCATTTCTGTCCAGTATTGTTATATAATTAGGGTTTTCACTTATTATAAGTAAATTTTAGATGTTCATAACCCACAACTTTGTAAACGTATTGTTTGTGTATTTTGATGTTCCAGTCATTTTCAAAAATGTATATAAATACATTTTGTACAAATATATAAATACATTTTGCTGAGGTGGCCTCAGCAAACCTGCAGACTAAGCGAATTTCCATTTGCCTAATTGGATTTACACTAAAATGTCTCCTTAAATATCACATTTATTCCCTCTTTAAATAGCATTAGTTTAATGAATACTCTAGGTTTGCTACAACAGGGAGGGTAGAAAAGTGTTTTTTTTTTTTGTTAATAGTTTAGTATGAAATAGGCCATGCAATGCATTTTCCATATGTTATCAAAATAATATTTTCATAAACAAGCAAACTACAACAGTGTGTGCTGTACTTATTTTCCATAAGAATAACATGGGAATTTTAAATTTACAATTTGTTGGATTTTTCTCCGTAACCAGTAGGTGCATAATAACGCTTCAATATACTAAATTATTTGTTTTTTTAAGCTCTACAAAATGGTTTGGAAATAAATTGCTAAATTTTATGTTTTTAGGGTCAAAAATGGGTAAAACAATTTTCACCCTATAAACCCCTGTTCCCATTGTCCGATCATGCTGGTTCGCTAACTCGTTCAAATAAATTTAGGTTTACACGTTTATAACAAATTTCATCAAAATCTGACCTTTTTTGCTTGAGTTATCTTGCTAACGGACACAAATATCATAT